CAAAAGTTGCTGGAAAATACCTAAATGGAAACAAAACAAACCCCATACCTTTTTAAATGACATCACCTCTATTCAATATCAGGTTTTGTAAAATCATTTTGTTTTTCTATGACATTAGAGAATCTAAATTTTGGACCAAAAGCACTTGACAGTGTCCTGGTATCCAGAAACCTTAATTCAGGAGTAGTCATTCATATGAATATTGAGCCTAATTCTCATCACACCAGTTTTCTATTAGTGTAATTCCACTGATTTCATCTGAATTTTCTGCTGATTTACACTGGAGAGAGGATCACTGATTCACTATAACTCCCTCCTGTTTGTAGGGACACAGATCTAGTGGGCAGGTATCAGAAGCAAGAATAATTAGAGGAATGCAAATTGATTACACAGCTGGCCTTTCTGCTCTCTCCCTCTACTCCTAGCAAAATGAAACAAACAGTTCTTTTAAGGAAATATCTACAGAGGTTCTTTAAGACAATAGAGACAGAATCAGGCCCTCATCATTACTTCTGGCAGGACCTAGGAAAAAGTCAACGAGCAGCAGCAGTAGCACTGCTGCAGGGGGTGGTTTGACTATTATTAGACCAATGATTCTCAACAAGGGTGTCACAGCACCCTTTCAAGTACATTTTCAAAGGTGCTGCAGAGTGCCACACAAATGTTAGGTGTGTAAACATGTTTCACAAGATAAATCCAGAGATTTCAAATAGGAATCCATAGTGTTAAAAATATTCTGCGCTGTTGTGGTCTTTCTGAGTTCTTTGTAACAGAAGAATTGCTCTATTATTTTTCTGTAGTCAAAAAAGAGTGAAAACTAAGAGCTGGCATTTTTCAAGGGGGGGGAGGGGTCTTTGAGTCTATCAAGGGGTGCCTTGTGTCTAGAAAGGTTGAGAACCACTGCTTTAGTCCATATTCCTCAATGAACAAGAATCCAGTATTAAGACAGCTTCATACTCCCAGCCATCTGAGTGGTACTGCCCATGAGGTTGGTTTCTTTGATGGCTGCCTTTCCCACCAAATTTTTGCTTGGTTTGGGTTTCTGCAAAGGTCCATATAGACCGTGAGGAGGACTCTGATTACATTTCCCAATTACTTTTAGCATCTTCTCCTTCAAGACTTAGTTCAGGAGAATTTTGGTCATCTCCAGGTTGCATCCTGATATGTTGGTGTCCTCAAATGTTACCAAGCCAAGAGGAGTTGAAAGAGTTTGATACTTCCTTAGTTTTTGTGTTGCAGTCTGCAAAGCTTCGGAGGCTGGTCCTCTGCTTTACCTCAATGGAGACTATTAATGGTGCCAAAATGGATGAGAGTTTAGTAAGAGGGACAGACATCAGGGACCAGACTGAACCTCAGCATATTTAAGTTTCCAGAGCTGTGATGCTGGTGCAGTCACCTGCTCTACTACCTATTGGCCATGAACTCCTCTGCAAGTAATCTTCACAGTATTCACCCCTCCACTTATAAGCCTACATAGTTGTCCATATACACTCTACATAGTTGTCCTTTGCTTGCTGATCAGCAAAGATGTAGAATTTGGTCCTGCATTCCCAGTTAAAATGACTTCAGCTGAATGGTGGAGAGATGCTGAATGAATTCTGGTCCTCCTAGTTATGCTTTCATATAATACCAGAAACAAAGGGGATAATCAATTACAACGAAAAGCAATGTATTTAAAACTGGAAAGAAGACTCTCTTTTAACACAATGCCATAAATAATTTCTGCAAGTCACTGCCACAAGTTATCACTGGGGCCATTTAGCAATATTTAAAAGAAAAAGCTAAACATTAATATGATTAAGAGAACACCTGTAATTACAGTAAAATGAAAAATAAGGGATATAAACCACTATTGCTATAGGCCACAAGCAGATGTTTAGTTAATGGGAGTTACAGGTTAGTCCAGCATTATCCACTATAGAGATGTTTGTACTTTCCTCTGAAGCATTTAGTATGGGCCATTGTCAGGGCCCTTCAGGTATATGAGAATCAGGCTCAAGGAATATAGGAGAGAACACTTCATCACAGAACAATGCCACAGGTCCTCACATTGCTAGGAGTCTACCTGCTTTAGGCAATATTCTGCAGTATATCTTGCAAAATGACATAATTGCTGTCTTACAAACTGACATCAGCAGTTATCACTAGTGACCTACAGGCATTCCCTCTAGTATGGAGCACAGTAGTCACAGCAGTCTGCTCTACCAAGTTTTAATATTGGGATACCTTGATTGTTTTTAGAAGGCAAACAGTAATGCTTTTATGATGTAGAAAGTATGATTAAAATGAATTAAAGTGTTTCCAAGAGAAAGGACTAAATTTAGGCTCCCAGCTAACTGCCTAAGTGGCCCAATTTTCAAAACATGTTGAGCACCTTATCAGCTACCATCAAAGTCAGGCTACAGGGGGCTCAGCACTTTAGAAAACGAGGCCACTTATTACAGAACCTAAAAGTTTATTATGATCATTTTCAATTTATGACAGACATTTGTAATCGTCTTGGCTGGACCTCCTTGCCAAATAATTGCAAGTTCATTCTGGGCAGCCTTATCCTTAAAAAGAAGGGGGAGGAAAAAAGACTGTGTTTAGTTTCTAGTTGTCACAATCAATTAATTCACTAGTAAGAAGTGGTGATATCCTGCTATATATTTTCATTTCCAAGATGATACTTGCTCATTTCAGGGAAGGGGAACAGGATTTTTCTTTCCAAATAGTACCATATTCAACGTTCTGAGAGTGTGAAATCTGATTCTGATCTCATATGGATTGGCATACTATCTTTGACATCAGATCCACCTTTCAGTCTAGGCTATGTCTTGACTTCTTGCAAGATTTCTCAATTGCAGATTAAACAGATTTCCTATGGATCTCAGTGGGCAAAGAAGCCTGCTACAGATATCAAGCTAAGTGAAGCTACGTAGGACAACAGCAGTCTGTCCGCTATCCCCAGGTATCAGAGAAACACCCTTTCATCAAAAAGACACTGTCAAATACTTTTGTATCAGCCCCTTCATTGGCCTTAAAACATTTCTTCCTCCGTAGAGATTGTGTGTCATTTATTTGGCAGACATTAACTTCCCACTCTATTTTAGGCTCTTCCTCTTTCACTTCCTAGTTGAGTATTGATATCATCACTGTGGCTGTTGGAACAGTATTTCTTAATTAACTTGGACAGGTAGCATATCGAAGCCAAACTATTGGAGGTGACAGTAGATATTAGAGGTGATAAAAAGAATTACTAAAGAATATTGGTGACAGAAAATAAGGTAGATGTTCTGAAATGAGATTCTGGTTTTCATGTATGTCAATGTCTGTTCAAAAATCCCTTCATGTGACTGAAAATCAGACCTTTTGCATTTCAGATCTGGAGGACAATCCCTTGCAGATTATTTAAAAAAAAAAAAGCCTGAACCTAAAATATCTGACAATATCTCCATAATAAATCAGTAATGGATTCTACTGGGCACATAGCAACTAAGTCAACTGTGCAAAAATTACAGGCATCTGATATAGAAGATCCAGGCTTAAGGAGCACTCAGGATTTTATGAGCAAATCTACTGATTCAATATTTAAGAAAGCTGTCCAGCATGGAAGAATGTCTCATATGAAAAACTTAGATTTTACAAGCCAAGTTTTGTAAACCTAAGAAAGCTTAATTAAATACAGACATGTTTAAAATTCTAAAGCATTAATTCTTTTTCTTTTTTTTGCATATTATCATTAGGTGCTTCTTCTTTGTCAAATATATAAAGTCCAGAGTGCAGTGGGTGCAAATTCTGGTTAAGGAGCTCAAGCAAGACAAAGATAGCATCAGACACTGGTCCGGCCGAACAAAGGACCCAAGTACTTTGGGAGCTGGCTGTGGGAAAAAATTTGCACAAAGATCTCCACAGCAGAAAGCTGGAGAGAATACCAGTGCAAACACAATGGAACAAAATAAAAAACACCAATATACAGGTTGATCAGGAGATACTAATGCTGATCCCGCATTCCTTGCACGGTTTTGAGTATGTAGGGAGTGCAGGATATGGCCCTTATAGCTGACATTTTTGAAAATAAAGGAAGGGAAGATTATCTGTAATTGTAGAGAGAGAATTATTTTGGCATCAAGTACAGATTAATGAGACAGGACTGCTTTCCCAAACAATTCTGGAAGATCTGTAGTGAGCAAGGCGGGGTGTGAGAATGATACAGCAGATTAAGTCCTCTCCAGTGACCACAAATAAAGGAAATCCTATTTTCTACAGACCTCCAGACTGTTTATAGTGAGGATCACCCTCACCCCTCCTGGCTCTTATGCCAAAGGTCAGATGAACATTGCTAGAAAACCTGCTTTTCTAAATGAACCTTCCGTCTCTAGGAACCAATTCCAAGCTGGAACCGCAAAAAAAGAAACAACTGGACCTTGATAAGTGCCTAAAGAGAACCACATATGCAAATACAAAGTAGCAGTTCAAATGATACTGCAGGATGGACAGGTTATTAGGAGATGACCTCACAGCTGACCTCACAGTGCCCCTCATCGACCCAAGTAATTCTTAAATCAATTTAAAAAAAACCCAACAACAACCAAAAGAAAAGAATTATAATACTAGAAAAGAAACTGAAGAAACATCTTTCCTCATTTAAAAATAAGAATTCAGAATCAGCTTTCTCCCCCCTCCCTCCTCTATCTGGAAGCAGGTTAGCTAACCTTAACAGTCTCAATTTAAAATAAAATATATATTTATATATATATATTCATACATATATATATATAATAAAAGAGAAGATACTAGTGGCAGTGTACGCAAAACAAAAAAGAAAACAAAGAAAAAATTACTTTTAACAATCTCACTTTTTTGTTTGTTTTTTTTACACAAATACTGTTGTAAATATATTAAAAAAATCAGCATTCTATCTGGTAAACGTCGCTTTTGCCCCTCTATAAAATTTTGAATTAAAAAAGTCCCAAGAACTCTTTTTTTAAAATTATTTCCCCCCCACCCTCCCACCCACTCTCTATTCCTCTTTCTTCCACAAGAATAAATCCTGATGCAACTTTTTTTTTTTTTTTTTTGCAAAGATTGTGGGAACTACTCCTCTTGTACCTAGATCCGCAGGTCGCAAACCTCTGATATCTTTGTTTTTCCTCTGTGTTTCTCTTTGCCTTCCGCGAAAGTCCCTCTTGATTGTGCTGAGGCCCTGGGCTCAGCGAAGACACTGAATAAATTACAAAAGAAAGCCACCGTTGCTCGTCGTCGGAATCTTCTTGGTTTCTGCTGTAAGGTGGTGGTAGGGGGGGAAAAAGCGGTGGGGGAGGGTGAACCAGAGAGCATGGGATGGAGAAGAAGCTGGGAGAGGAATCTATAATTCTCCTTCCTCAGCCTGTAGAAACTCCATGCCATCCAACTCACGCTCCCTTGCCCTCTCCTCAGCCCTTTGTGTGTTTGCATGTGTGAAAGCAGACAAATGGTGGAAACCAGCAGGGCCTTGTTACCTCTGGTTGCTGCGCAGCCAGAAGTGATATATTCCACAGTTCTAACTGGATACTGTGAAGTCCAAAAGCGGTCAGAATTGTGAATTACGTCCACTGAAACACTGCAAGCGGTGTACTTAAATGACAGTAGGCCTTATAGATTTTGTAATATACTTTTGTTTTGTTTTTTTGTAGTGCTCTTCACAAGTGAGAAAAAAAAGAAATTGTTTTTTTTTTTTGTTTTGTTTTTTTTTGTGTTTTTTTGTTTTTGTAGTAAAGAAGGGTTGTATTTAGAGGCCAGTAGCTAGAGATCCAACCAGTGGAGCTCTTGAAACACTACCTGGCCTTAAGGCCACCATCCAAGGGAGGTTAGGAAAATTATTATTCACCTAGCCTCCGGAAATGTAATGTACCAGCAGGCAATAAACAGTTCTTCATGTAGTACAAAAACGACAAAATGAAACAAACTAAAAAAAAAAGGAAGGAAAATAAAGGTAAAAACGAAACAAAAATCATTTCTTAAATTCTAGTGCCATAGCTTTTGTTGTTGTTGTTGTTTCTACTTTTTTGTTTGTTTGTTCATAATAAAGAGAGAGATTCTACTTATCCGTCAGACACATGCATCCTCATGTGGTCGTTGAAATGCTCGATTTGGTCAAACTTAGCTGGACAGACGGAGCACACGTATGTGGTCCCCTCCGTGCAGGCCACCACCCCGGCAGGGACGGCCCTTGTGCCGGTGCCTGTGGTGCCGGGTGTGCCGTTGGTGGCACTGTGAAGAGCCACGTGCCTCTCCAGCAGGGTCTTGTGGGAGAACTTCTTCTTGCAGATGTAACACTCGTAGGATTTTTCCCCACGGTGGAGGCGCATGTGCACATTGAGTGAGCTCTTCTGGGTGAAGCGTTTGTTGCAGATGCTGCACTGGTATGCTCTCACGCCGGTGTGTGTCACCATGTGTTTGATTAGGTAATCCTTTAAGGAGAAGGAGCGCCAACAGATGCTGCACTGATGGGGTTTCTCACCTGCCCGTTACCAGGGAAGGAAAGAGAAAGAGTGAGAGAGAGAGAGAGAGAGAGAGAGAAAGAGAAGAAAGAAAATAAAAAAAAATGAAAATCAATTAAAATAAGCTCTTTGGAAAAGGCTAGCTGTAGGTCTGCAAGGAATCGCTGGAGAGATGGTCTATGTGTGGAAAAAATGGTCTTGTTAATCAAATAGTAATAACAATAATAATTAAACTCTGTAGATATATAATGGCATTTAGCCATAGAGCTTGGAATGTTAAACATTATCCCCACAAGTGTTGAAGGAGAGGAGTGAGTCGAAGGAGTTGCTGAAGGCCAGATAAGCAGGTTAGTGGCAGACAGGCATAGAACCAAGCTCTCCTGACTCCCAGCCCCAGGTCAAGCCACTCAGCTAGAGCTGTTGATGGAGCCGTGGAGTGGGAATTAGAAAAGCTGTGTTCACTCTTGGCAAATAGCACCAGACTCCTGAATGGCCTTAGTCAAGTCACTTCACTTTCCCAGAGCTTTAGCTTCTTCACCTGTAAATAATGGGTGCCTGTAGACATGCAGCCAACTTGATTAATCGAGTCTGCCTAATTAGCACACTCCAGTAGCCTTGGTGTCTTGTGTATTCAGTGTCCCCGGACTTCAAAATGGCAGCGGGGGTGCTTTATCTAAAGCTCATCAAACAAGCTTTAGTTAAAATGTCCCCACTGCCTTTTGAAGCACAGTACACTGAATACATGAGACACCACACTCTAATTAATTAATTCTGACTCCCAAGAACCACTTCCCCACCCCTAGAGCATGTATAAAGATGCCCAATGGAGAGGGATAGAGTGACCAACCTATCTTTTATGGACACGTGAACATTTTGGACATTTATGTTTGGAAAATTTCAGAAAGAAGTTTCTCAAAAAGGCAAAGGAGTGCCGATCCTGTGCTAGCCAGTATTCTGGTCATATCTGGCAACTTAATCATTTTATAAGATTACTCAAAGGTTATCTCTACATGAGAGAGTTCATAGACCAGCAGCACAAAGGAAAGGCCTGTTTAACAGGAACATCCCCCGCATAACAGACAGGAGAATTAAACCATACAACTAACATCTTTAAATCTAATATTATGAATCATCCATCTCACTGCTTAGGATGTAGCTGAAAACATTATCTGGTACAGAATTGGTGATTGTTCTGTCCAGATTGTTCCATGTGATGGGGCTTTCCTCTTGCTTCCTTAGCAAAGGACTTCTAGTTTCATATATTGTACTACCAGGTAATGCTTTAAGGATATGCTGTCTACATCTCATCATGCAGCTAAATCTTTGAAGCCCCCACTGAAAACAAACATGGTTAACATATGGTTCTTAAAAATGCTGGTTTACGGCACTTCAGCTCTGTTTATGAGCCATGTAGCACCGTTAACAGGCAGCAACTGGGCTCAGTCGTAGTGACTGTACTGTGTAGATGGTTTTGTCTATGACTATACCCAAATTAGTAACAGATTTGGAGTGTTGTTATAGCTGGGACGGTCCAGAAAATATACAAGATGCAAAGGTTTTTTTGTGGTGCTGTCTTTTTGGGCCAACTGTATAGTTGGGAGACATGTTAGACTAGCTTTGGGGCATGAAGTGCCCAGTCCTGAAGAAGGGCCCTTTCTGTCTGAAAGCTTGCCTACCATCTCTCCCAACTATACAGCTGGTCCAATAAAAGATATTAAGTAAAACAAACAAAACAAACAAACCCCCAAACCTTGCTTCTATATCCAAATGAAACATCTCACCTTTCTCCAAGGTCTGTGTGTGGAGGACATCCTACACTGCCTTAAGTGAAAAATGACTACAATCCTCAGTTCCTTAAGGTTACAGCTGAACTGTGCACTGATACAAGCACAACTGTGTAGTCTGGCAGCTATGTATTAGCCAACATGGTTAACATGTTTGTGCTGATGAAAACGATAGTATGTCTGCTGTAAACATGCCAGGCTAGTGTGTCAAAGCCTGGTTAAGCTGATGTTCCCCTTTGCTGGAGATACAGCACCTCCTAGTATTTGTGTGGAGATGCAACATTTCTGCACGACACCTAACGGGGGCTGTTCCATAAAGACACCATATAGGTAAATTAATGCCATAACTTCCTTAAAGATATCCTACTGGGCATGTAAAACCATCCACAGATTCAAGACCCATAACTCTGAACTATATATATCTCATCAGACCCAGTCTTGTTCATATCAAAGGCAATGGACATTTTACCAAATTGCAATGGAAGCAGACATCAATCCATACTCCACATTTTCAAGGGTTTATCAGTTCAAGCATGTGTGTGTGCAAGGCAGAAAAATCCTCATTTTATGTTTTTCTGAACTAACTGGCTTCAGAGGTTTAACAGTTTCCTAGCAAGGGAAAAACATTTTCTAATCCTCAGTCTATTTTCCTTGATCTCTGCATTATAATTTTCTAATTAGAATTGTGAATAATAGTTCTATTGGTTGAGGGACTGAACTGAAAAGAGAGAAAAATAGTTTAAACATAACTGAAAAGGATCTTCATGATTTTTGGTGAAAAGAAACAAGAATATTATTTTAGTGCAACCAATTTTTTTTCATTTGACCCATGATAAAATATTTTGTTACTCTTCGGGTTATTTAATCCCTTTGTTCACAATATTCTGTTTTGTGCTTTAGTCAATTTTTTCATAAAACATTGTCATTTTAAAATTGAGATGTAATTTTTTTAAAGAGTAATGAAGTGTTTTGTTATTTTTAAATCTACCCTCACCCCAATCCCCCAAAAACATTTTTTCCATTTAGCTCTATTTCAAAGACAGACTGTGCTACAGTATTTACTGCTGTCCTTAGCTTCACAACCATTTTGTGGGTTCTTTTTCCTTGGAAATGTCACAAAATCACTAGTTTTTCAGATGCAAAATTTATTTCTTTTGTAAACACTTAATCATTACTGTGAATTACTTACGTTAAGCATGCAGAATCACAGAATCATAGAAAACGTAGGGTTGGAAGAGACCTCAGGAAGTCATGTAGCCCAACACCTTGCTCAAAGCAGAACCAGCACCAACTAGATCATCTCAGCCAAAGCTTTGTCGAGCTGGGTCTTACAAACCTCCAAGGATGGAGATCCCACCACCTCTCTAGGTAACCTGCTCCAGTGGTTTACTACCCTCGCAGTGAGAAAGTTTTTCCTAATATCTAACCTAAACTTCCCTTGCTGCAGCTTGATACTGTTGCTCCTTGTTCTGTCATCTGTTCTGAGAACAGTTTAGCTCAGGGATGGGCAAAATGTGGCCCACGGGCCAGATGCGGCCCGCCAGGCCATTCTACCTGGCCTGTGGGGCCCCTAAAAAATTTAGAAAATTAATATTAATCTGACCTGGGCTGCCTGTCATGTGGCCCTCGATGGCTTGCTGAAACTCAGTAAGTGGCCCTCTTCTCAAAATAATTGCCTGCCCTGGTTTAGCTCCATCCTCTTTGGAACCAACCTTCAGGTAGTTGAAGGCTGCTATTAAATACCCTCTCAATCTTCTTCTTCAGACTAAATAATCCTAGTTCCCTCAGCCTCTCCTCAGAAGTAGGGATCCACCGAAATCTGAGCAGCTGCTGCCTGATTCCGCAGTCCGAGCGCAGCACCCAGTGCCATTCTGGCAGCAAAGCGTGGTGCCCCCCCATGCCTCTGATTGACTGAGGGGCCCCAGAAGTCCTGCCCCTCCCCAGGGATTGACAGATGGCTCCAAACCAGGACTTGCTAATGTGTCAATTAATATCTTCCATGGGTTTAATTCCCTGATCAAGCCCATGGATGCCACTTACTGCTGTGCTATTAAGCAGTGTAGGACAGGCTTAGTGGTCCGTGCCCCCCTCCCCCCCTTCCCCCCGCAGTAGGCAGCAGAGAGGGGGAGCTGGGCTCTGCTCTGCTGCAGCAGCTGCCACCTCCTGCTGGGGGCAGGGGACTCTGGACCCAGGGCCCTGGCAGCTGGGTGCCCCCTTTGGCAGGGCTGGGGGGGCAAAAAGCTGTGGGTGTGGGGCAAGGGGCACCAGCAGGGCTGGGTGGGGGCTGCGGGGGGCAGTGAGGGACCTATCATTTTAATGACAGATTTTGGGACATTTATCAGTGAATTTGCAATTTTTTATCAGAGAATTTGAAACTGTTTATCAGTGAAAACCAGAGAAGCCCAGCAAGAGCCTGTTTTTGCAAATTGTGCATTACCTGCACCAAATTTCAAAATACCTTTGTACACACACCTGCCCCCAGCAGGCCAGTCTACCCCCGGTGACACACACGTGATTCCATCAGAGAGCGAGAGAGAGAGAGAGAGAGAGAGAGAGAGTGTGTGTGTGTGCGCGCGCGCGCGGAGAGAGAGAGAGAGAGAGAGAGGATCAAAGTACAATAAACCAGCTAAATAGTTGTTTTAAGTCTCCTTCGTGTGCACTGATGGTCTCCTTGATGCTAATCACATGATTTATCTAAAACAGCCTGTGTATATGTTTACCATAAGTTTTTACACAGCAGAAGCACTTAACACTGCTGTGGTAATTACTCTTTACATAATAGGTGTATACACATCAATGTTGGTGGACCTTCATATCTGCATAAACACACATAATCAATAATGTCTGTCTCAGGTATTTCTAGAGCTCTCTGAACTGTAATATATAAACACTAATGGTATAGAAAAAATAATTAAAAGTATATCCTGACTGTTTTACATATATAGACATACATGGAAGTGATATTCATGCCATACATTAGAGAGGTATGAGATACATTTCTCCCTCTCTTTTGACCATTTTTTCTAGCACTCAGCCCATTCTTACATCTCCTCAAGATATATTCAAGTGTATCAGTGCTCATACAGCCACCATTCTATTGATACATGCTAAAGAAAGTTTTTCCTTCCCCATATAAATGTGGAATTTCCCTTCAAAATAATAGTGACCTAAGAGCCAGGCCAAGCAAAATTCAAACCAGAACCAGTTTCTTCATATATAAAAATGTCATTGCTTTGAAGTCTCGTATCCCTACTGAATTAATAAAAGGAGGCTAACCCCAATGATACATATAGGTTCCCAGCTTCCCAACACGACACAAAGAATTTGCTCCTAACTTTAGATGGTCTCACATGATCAGCCTTCAAAGCAATTGCATTTTAATGTATAGAAAATATATTTTGGGTCACTTTCACAGGTGTTTTACATTTATCATGGTTAATTTTGGTCTCTCTGTGAGCTCTGCACTGCTGTACTTCATAGATTTAAGGCATCTGACTTGCCAAAAAATACAAATGCAGGAAATGACCTCAATGAAATGTTTAACAATCCGCTAAAAGATTCTTTAAGGAGTTTCCTATAAAACATGCAAGATATGTGATGATATACACAGGGAAGTGAAATTAAGGTTGCACTGGGTGCATCTACATGAGATGCTAAATGTGCAGTAGACTAATTCTACTGTGCATTAGTGCATCATGGCAAAAGTCCTGCTAATGTGCTAATGCACAGTAGAATTAGTCTACTGAGCATTAGCATCGCAAAAAAATGTGCACTGATGCAACTGCGCAGAAGCACCGGTTAGTACCAATTCAGTTAGTACCAATTACAGGTACTAAACTGAATGTGCAGTAACTACAGCACATTAATCAACAGGTAGATGCGTCCACTGGCACACAGTTGTGGGGACTAACATAGGTCATGCTTGCCTTTGCTCCTGCTGGGTAATGCAACTGATGCTGACTTGTACCATACATACACCATCATCATGTATCAGTACCGGCCCTGCTGACATATCTACCAGCGAAACCAACCAGAAGGACCTCTTCTCCAGCAGACAAATTCTGTTATTAATAGCCCTGCTGGAGAGTCGTGTGACTGCTTCAGATCAAATGTTGAGCATTAATGAAAGACTACCTTTCACCAGGGAACAAAAACTAACCATTTCCTCAATCAATCATTGACAGCACATTTCAGCGTACCTAAGAGTTTCCTCCTGTATCCTTCACAGGTAGAGCCCTGCAGGGACCTTCTATACATTTAATCATGGAGCTATCCTACCCCTCTCCAGTACTGCACCTAGACCCCTGGCAGCCCTGGGTGAACTTTTAGTATCAGGCCCCCCTTCACCAGAGATAATGATAATAATCAGACAATGGAAAAAATTACCATTTTTGGGCCCCCTTTCTGTCCAGGCCCTGGGCAGCCGCCCAGTTTGCCCATGCCTGTGTCCAGTTCTGCCCCTCTGTGAAACAGATTGTCACCTACAAAAGCTCAGGCTTCTCTGAACCAATAAGTCTCTAAGCTGCCATCCATGCCTTGCCTTCTGCCCCTCATTGTTTCAGTGGGTCGACACATTAGGTGCTCAGCATTTTTCCTTCTGACACTGTGGAGAACCTTATTTATATTAATCACCACAGTCATTAGTTCCAGTATGTGCAATGGGTCTTTAACATTACCCAGAGAACCCTGTAAGGGTTTAAATTCTGCCTTGTGTGCGTTACGAGCTATCCTTGGGCTTATGCATAAGTTGGAGGGCCGTGTACTCACCTGTGTGTACAAACATGTGCTTGACGTAGTTCTGTTTGGCGGTGAAAGTCTTGTTACAGAGAGTGCACTCATAAGGCTTTTTTTCACCCTGCCCACCTGCTGTGCTGTGGCCCGCAGAGGGAGCCAAGGGCTGTGGGGCTGGCAGCTGGGCAGTAAAGGTTGACAGGCCAGGCTGGGACACTGTCACAAACTGTGTCTGTTGGCCAGCTAAGGGCTGGGGCAGGCTGAAAAGGAAAGGCTTAGGGCCGCTGCCAGCAGATTGTGTGGTGAAAAGGGCAGGCAGGTAGGTGTTGCCAGCTGTGCCAATGACCTGAGTGTTGCTGGTCAGAGTCAGTGGCATCCTCAGATTGCTGGTGAGGGTTTCTGTCTGGCGTAAATAGAGCTGGGTGCTTGGCAATTGTTGGGCAGCAGTTGTGTTGGCAGAAGGCTGCAAGGTCCCCTTTTCGGTGCTGTTATTCACTGTAAGCACTTTGCCATCCATCTCAATGTCGTTGTTTCTCTCTGGAGAGGAGGAGTTGGCATCCATTTGCTGCTGCTGCTGGGGCTGAGTGCCTTCAGCAGGGGCGTCACTTTGCTCTGGTTGGGAAGGTTCCTGCTTACCCTCACGGCCCAGGCCGGCCATGAACTGCTGCTCCACGGAATCAGGCTCAGTGCCAATGGAGGAACTGACTCCCGAGTCAAAGCTCTCCCCCTTGGGCTCGCTCTCAGTGCCTTCTGCTTGGTCAGTGTCCTCAGTGCATTCCTCAGACTCATTGCGCTCCAGGATCTGCACCCTTTGCTGGCCGTAGTAGTCATAATCGTCCTCCATTTCCTGCTTGATGTGGATGTTGCCCACCAGGGTCTGGATCCGGACAGGGCGTGGTTGCTTGCGGCAGTGGGTGGTCTCTGGAGTGGTGGAGAGGTACCGCTCCATCTGCTGTGAGCGCTCATGGATCCGTGTAATCCAGCTCGGGTCTTCCATGTGATGGTCCCTGGGCAGCCCCAGGGCTGTCTCGTGGTGGCTAACCACTGCTCCGCTGTAGAAGGAGCGTTCCCCACTGCCATTCTGCATTGAGCAGGCGTAGAGCGCAGAGTAGATCCTGTCCACGCTGTGCTGTGAGTGGCTCTGCAGGTAGCCAGACTCTGTGTCGGTGCTCTGTCCCGAGGTGCCAGATTCGGGTGTCCCTCGTGGTGTCTCCTGGCCGGAGTCCTGGATAACCGGGTAGACTTCACCCACATTTTGTGAGACGATCCGCGTGCACTCGTCAATCACAGTCTTGATCTGAAGGATGCTGGCAGCAGTGAGGATCTGCAGAGCCTCTGACTGGGAGACCCGCAGCACCCCGCTGTACATGAAGTCAATGAGTTTTTGTACGGACTGGACTGACACCACCGAGGGGATTTCAATGTCACTGTAGCCCAGCAGCAGCTTGTCCTGGAAGAAGGGGCTGCCGGCTGCCAGCACGCAGCGGTGGGCACGTAACATGCTCCCGTGGATGCGGACCGTCACGTCACAGAAGTGGCCACGGTTGCGCTGCTCGTTGAGGGTCTCGAGCACTGAATTGCTGAAGTTGTGAAGGTTGATGCTGTGAATGCGCTCTGTCATCCCCTTGCAACTGATGTTACCTGGAGCACAGGAGGAGACAAAACCGGGGGGGAGGGGGAGGACAGGTTAAGGGTTTGTCCTCTACACATCCACAGCAGGGATACTGGATGACTGACTACACAATGCTGGGAAGACCTCAGAGGTACCATTCCCAGGGCACTGAATAGAAGGTTTCACCTCCCCATGTGAGAACGAATAACTTCATACAGGGTGTGGAAACAGAATGCATTTACTCTAGAATAAAGTACCCTGGATTATATTCCACAGTAAATTTACTCTGCAGTAAGGAGTGGGCATGCAGCTGGTGCTCCCAAGCTGACTGCCTAAGGGAGGCCCTATGACATTGCTTAGCTGGTAGGTGGTGGGGCGCTGGTTTGCATGGAGCAAACAGTTACCCTGGAATGAAACTGGCAGTGGGGGGAAGCACATGATGCATACCCTGGAGTAACCTTTATGGGAGTAAAATTACTTTTGATTTCCTCAGAAGTAACTTTACAATAGAGGATGGCCTTGCCTTGGGAGTAAAGGCTATGTGTTGTGTCAGCTGCACTTTACTGTGGGCATGTCTACATGAGAGTCTTACTGCAGAGCTGCCTAATTAGCTCCACAGTAAAAGTCTCAACGTCTACACATGCGGTCCTATTAGGCTGCAGTAAACTAATAAACTCCACGGCAGGATAGTACTTGGAAGTACAAGTGCTACCCTGCTGCAGAGCCTTTTTGTGTGCAGCAAAGCATGTGTAGACACTGACTGGGCTGACTGGGGCACGAGGGTGCTTCAGTGTTGGGGCTGCCTGTTGGCTAGTCCTGCACTGAAGCACCCATGTGCCCCAGCCAGCCCCTTCAAAGCATGTTGAGATGGGCAGGAGCAGCACCTGCTGTAGTCAGGCAGAGCACATGCACGATACTCCAAAATGATGTAGTGTAGTTGCCTCTAGTACAGTGCTGGAGGGCTGCCAGTAAGCCTTCTGTCTTGGCCATGACTTACTGGTGTATGCCTAGGGGTGTATTAAAGGGGCCATGGTACATCTGTTTTGGGGGATAGAACAGTGGTGCTCAGAATCACTGAGGCACTTCCTAGCATGGTCCTTTGAGGGTGGAAATGTACCCAAAAGAGCAGGTTCTTGTTTACACTGAGGACCACAGCACTCAGTAGGGGGAAGAGTTTACACAAAAATATGGTTCCTCTCCTTAGATCTGAATTCTGAAACCAGCACAGTCAGGGGAGATCCAGATCCTGGGTTCTGTGGATCAGCCTTTTAGAAAGTTATTCACCATTTGCAAAATGCAAATCCAGGATTTCAAAGCTTCCTAAAACCTCAAGCACATTTTGTGTCTGGGGGCTGAGTTTGTGGTGTTACCTACCCACAATGAACTGCATTTGCTGTCAGGAATCCAAAGACAGCAATCAGCTTTCCCACCCCCATTCTCACTGTACCTTGGGAATTCTGGTTCTAGCTGGCTGGGACCATGGCACATGCTGTCATGCTGGTGTTTAAGCCTGATCCAAACTGGGAGGTCAAAGAAACGTGGCTAAAGTGCCTATTCTCACTGTCTGTCTTGCATGCAGACCAGCCCAACCTCTGGTTTCTTTACTATTCATTCCATCCAGGAAGAGCACACACCAACTGCAGAGACTTCCTGACAAAGGGTTTTTAAACCCAAAAGCTTGCTAAAAAAATGTTCCACCTATTTAAGTCAGTCTAATAAAAGATATCAGATGCACCCAAAAGTACCTTCTCTCCCTATGTCCTTAGTCCAGCACAGCTACAACCTACACCCCTATTCTCATGAAGAAGTTCAGCCCCTGCTTGTAGTAGCTCAGGGGTCTGGGTAGTTTGGACAAGGTTTAGAAAAGCATCTCAATGTGCAGGCAAAGATCTAAATGACCCTCTGGATAATCTCTCATTATATTTACAGGTGGCTAAAAATAACCCCCTCTCCCTTTAATCTCTCAAACCTCCTTCTCCCCAAACCAATATCCACCTTGATTATTTTTCCTTTAATGTTGCTTCCCTCTCCTCCCTTGTCTTCTTTGGGGCTTTTTTTGTCTATTTATATTGCGAGATTTTTATGGCAAAGACTGTGTCTTCAGACATGCTGGTGAAGAATGCAGCACACCCCAAGTGTTAAATAAATAATAAGCTTATTAATAACCTTTCTCTCTCAGTATTTATAGTGTGTGCATCAGCTTGGCATTTGAGTGCCAAGACCCATTAGTTACCATTAGTGTTTCTGTTAACATTCCATGAGAAACATTCCCTTCTGGTGTCCGCAACCCACACACATTGCAGCCAAGCGCTACTATGTGAGAACATAGAAGCAAAAGTTACTAGAGGAGTGTCAATAAAACAGACTAGTCTATCTTCACCCTTTGATTTAGGAGACATGTACACAGGAAACACACGCCACCTAGAGTGATACAGGTGCCAAGGGGATGGGCATTTAAATCTTTTCAGATCATGAATTTTAACATGGCAATGTCCCTTTAAGGCCAAGATAAAGAGCCCTTTGGTGACTGTCATTGTCCACGTCTTAACACACAGGCTGCAAAATGCTACCAACTGCAATTGACTGAACAATGGAGCCTCCTCTTCCCCGCCCTCATTTACCCATTTCTGCCATCTCAAGCACCCTCTCTTCTGGTGCTTCAAAGAGAAACCACATTGGACACAGGTGGTTATTTTAAATCTCTGAAGCAGCTGAGGATAAAAGAGAGAGCAGAAAGGTCAGAAACTGGAAATCCTGATGGGGGATGAGGTTCCTGAAGAAGCTTGAGGCCAGCAGATGGAAACTAGGCAGTATCAGGGAGGGGACTAATTTCCATATGAAATTATTGCCCCTGGGCAATGCTTGCATGGCAGCAATGCTTGGGAAATCACTAACGGAATCACAGAGGCTGTGAATTACATCTGTCTTGTTCACAAGCTTTGCCATGAAACCTGAGCCTTTCCCCTCCACTTATGTGACTAAATAGAGTGCTGGAAAAAAGGCCTCCCATCCCCTGCCTCTTAGTACCTGCAGGTACCTCAAAAGCAGTGGCAGGGTGTCTTTTTTGCGGACCCCACACAAAGGTTCTGCTTCTGGCCCCTACACTTTTCTTGACAACCGGATGAAACACTAAAATGGATACAGGGGAGGAAGTAAGCACAAAGCGCTGTAAAAAGGAGGGGTGAGGGTATGTGTTGTGATATAGCACACCCCATCACATAACTGTAATGCCTTGGATGCTCCTGCCCAGCTTGGGACTCCATGCAATGGCACAGTTGCACTACCTTAATGGTACCCCTGCTCATTGGCAAATGGTCTTATCCCCAGAAAACCAGACAATCAGCTCCCAAAGGCTCCCAGGGTATCTGCAGGCATTCCCTTCCCTGTGTGCCAGATCACAGCAGAATTCAACACCAACTCAGGGTAAGCAGTAGGGAATCTCTTTCTGAAAGACTGCCAACAGCTAGGGCCTGGGGGGGAAGAGAGAGGGTGTCGCCTGGCTGTGCATGAATATTAAAAGAAGAGCACCTTTCTTCCTCAAGCTCATCCCTAGACAAGATTGTGAAGATGTACTATTGAGTGCATACCCGTTTCTCTTTACCCCTATCCAAGTGCTGGCAGATCAGCGTATTATAAATGCTTGAAAAAGGACTGAGCACCATCTGTTTGGATCATGACACATGTAAACAGATCTTAAAAGACAGCTTCCCATAAGTACTTCTATTTGTTTCATTTTATGGCAAGATTTATTCAATAGCAACAAGATATGCAAGAGGTTAGCTTAGCAAATGCAAAAGGTTGCCTCTCCCCCACAAAGAACGCGGGGAGAGGAATATCCAAGAGGCACCAGATGAGTTCTGTGGAGATGTAGTTTGATTTTAAGAGGTATATTGGGCCCGCAAATGCTCAAAATAATTTGTAAGTGGGCCTTTTCAAAACACACCCACAGGAAGTGATATTTCAAGCCAACTTAGTTCTTTCAAGAATTCAGTGTTTGTGAAAGGCACTGGGCTAACAGCAGCCCGCCTGGGCAGTCCTGGGGAGTGCCCTCACCGCAGAGGGAAGCAGTGGGCCCCGCTACAGCTCAGGGGCTGCTTGGCCTGCCAGCAACTTGCTCCCTGGCCACGGGAGACACAGGCATGCTCTGAGAGGGGACAAAAAAAAGAAAAGAAAAAAGGATCAGACTCCTTGCTGCTTTTTCTTTTTTTTTCTCAGCAGAGCTTGCCTGTGTGAGCTGCCACTGGGTCATGCAGCCTCTGAGCTGGGGGGCAGGGGCTGGGTCCTTCCCTCCACGGTGATAGTGCCCCCCTTAGACAACCTGGGTGGGGTGCTAGTGGGCAGTTGCTGCCCATGGGGCACTGCAGAGGGAAGGACTGGGACTCCCACAGCTCAGGGCCTGCTGGCAGCTTGCCCCTGGCCATGGGATAGGTGGGCAGACTCCAGGGGGTGGGGGAAAAAAGGATCGGGGCCCTCATTGCTTTCTTCTTTTTTCTGGTGGAGCCTGGCCATGACAGCGGGTGAGCTGACGGTGGGCCATCACTGTTTCGTCGGAAGTCCCTAAATTGTGGGCTTTTAATTGTCACAATTAAAAACCCACCAATTAAAAACCCACCATTTCAATTTAGGGAGAACTAAACCCTCATCATGTGTACAAGCAGCCTACAAGTTTCCCCATTCTTCCTCCCATCCTTCCCTAAAGAGATGGGAGGGTTCTGTACCCATACCCCATTCAGTCTTTCAATTCTCTACTGAAACAGCCAACAAGGGACCAGTCAGTGCTGGATCTGAGGGATCTGCCTTATAGGAACTGGTCTGAGTGTCACTGTAGGCATTTCACACAAGGCAATGAGCAGGCAGAGAGCAATGAATTTTGGTTATAACTGGTACAACAAACCCTTTCTTTGGCAATACCTCTGTTCAGTGACTTACTATAAAATTATAGCCTACCTGATTCTTGTATTCTTTCCACATGTGAAAGATGATAATGCCCTACCTCCCTATCGATAGGCTGTGATCTCCCCGTAATCAG